TATCTAGCCAGTACCTCTCAACCTCCTGCACAAGCTCGGGCTCCAGGGTGGGGCCCCGGCTGCGCCATGCCGGGCAACGTCACGGTCCTTGATTTTAATCTATTCATAAAGGGCTTTTGATGCAGTCTTTCATAATACATAACTTAAGTTTGTAACACAGGCATTCTATTAAGGATCTATAACTTATAGTGTGAGCTCAAGCTACATGCTGTCACTATAGGAAACTTTGAAACAACTTGGTTCAAATCATGCTGAGTCTGTAACGCTGTAAATTATCCACTGCCATGGCGTGACACATTAGTAACATTGTTACCTGTTGTAGTTGCATGTCCATTCTCCAGGCCAGCATGTGTTTGGGCGAGGTCCACTTCTATTGGCTCTTCTCTTTCAATGCTCTGAAACACACACAGAGTCACGATTAACGACAACACACTAGCAACCTTCATTACTGTTAAAGGAGCCTAAAGTTACGTTTTACCTTAAATGAAGACCAGTAAGAAAGCTGTATAGTTTTCCCTCCATAAACATTACTTTTAGAATCACATGGTTAATCATTGTGCTATTGATAGATTCTATTGATTGATTGAGTGCTACAGGGAGTAAATATTTGCACCCGATGCCCCTATTGTCTCAGTGTTGTGTTGAGCTGATCAAACATTAATATGTTGTGTTTGAATCACAGACAGAGTCAGAATATCATGATCCTCTGGTTTGAACTATTAAAGATAAAGAAGAAATTCTGATGTTCACTGCTCATTGAGTCAAAATCATTCCTTTTTAGAATTTTTTCCAACACATGGGCTTTTTTGACACACCTTCAAGCACAACAAACCAGCAAACTGGCACAGTGCAACTAAACACGCTTCAAAGTTGGACATACAGTATGACAGAGAAGTGTTGTAGGTGTGAGATGCACCAGACAAACTGGCACAGTGCAGCTAAACACGCTTCAAAGTCGGACATACAGTATGAAGTGTTGTAGGTGTGAGATGCACCAGGGTGTTCTGTTCAGTGTCTCAGTCTTCCCTCTTATGATAAAACTTGGGACTAGCCTTTGTTCTAAATCAGGCACTGCTGTTACTGACACACTGGGATGGGAGTGCTGCCAAAATCTGTCAAGTGTTGTTGTAGCATGACTGCTAGAATGACTGAAATCATGTTGTAATGTCAACCATCATTAGCCTCTTAAGTTCTGTGTCTATGTAACCATGTCACATCCACTGTTTTCTGTCTCTGTGATCTGTGCAGACCTGCAGCAGAGTCTCTCATTCCTCTCCAAACACAATCAGCCATATGGAAACAGCTAATCACCATCCAGATACTTCTATCTCAAACTCTCAGTCACATACAGTAGTGCAGCTGACCCCCATAGGTTGTGGGTCAAGCTGTTACTTTACATGTGTCTCTGTCAGACAGACAGATGGAGCTTGTTGATAGTCAGGCTTCTTGGCATAGAACAAGACTATTCAAGTCAACAGTGCAGTGCTGATAGCTGTGTAGGTTTTCTGAAGGTCAGCATCATAAAACATGTAAAATTGTATCTGTGCTGATCTAACAGACCCAGAAATAGGCTTTCAGAAAACATAATGCACCCTCAGGCAGCCATGTAGGAGATCCTCTGCTTTTTGGCAACAAATAAAAAATGAACAGCTGGTTGTATTTCAACCTTGGCTGTCACAGTGGAATTAAATAGACAGGCCTGATTACTGCACTGTTTTTGACCGAGAACATTAGTTCATCACTGATGCATGAATTCTGTGTTTAGATAACGTCACCATGTTTGGAAGCAGAATCTGAGCATCTGGTCAGACATCATAAAATGAACAGATAAATGAAGTGATTATTCAGAAAAATTGGATCATTCCCATTCTTTTCAAAGGACCAGAAGTGGGGACAAAGTGTCTTTTCAAAGCAGACCTAAGGATGCTGACTAGGGCTTTCACTGACCACTATTACTTTAATTGTCATTGCACAGTGAAAGGTGCCAAAAGTGACACAAATATGCTGTAAATTTCCTTGTATCCGCAAACAAATGCCTGCACCTAGCAACTAAGGGGTGGACAAAAGATTTGAATCTAGAACTGATCAAGTGCTCCTCTATAGTCCCTTTTAAACTGCCTGTTCAGTGTGAAATTATTCTGTATAAAAGTTACCAACCCAGCCTGCATGGGGGCTCAGTGTTGATTCACCACTGAGGTAGTACAACTGCTGCAACCGTTCCGCCTCACCCTCTGTGTGAAACGGGAGAGGTGGATTGAGGGGTTGTGGGCTAGGCTATGGAGGATTATTTTACCCAAAACTGAAAAAAAAGAAAAACAAAAATGCCACATTTTCAAATATTTTACATCTCCATTTACCTCCATTGTTTTGGAGTGACGGCACAAATTTTCAGGGATGTCAAAAAACCTGGACAAATAGAACTCAAACTAAGCTACGACTGTATGCTCTATCTCGCTCATGCACAGACATAAAGGGTAATATGCTATTCTTGCTGCTAGATAATGTGCTCTGTTCAGTGCATGTACAGCAAATGTGTATGTGTTTGGCTGAGCTCACCTTATAGGAATGTTGCTGTGTGTGTTAAAACAAGTCAAGAAAAGAGTGTGTCTGGGTGGGTGATTGTGTTTTTATAAAGGGGATATGAGAATAAGGGGAAAAGCAAGGGCTTCTGGAGAAAATATCATTATGTATGAAAGAGTGAGGGAGGCAGATGGGGAAGATGTATACTGCATGTTGTGAAATGGCGCAGAAGAACAGGGTACATAGGTGGAAACAGCTGGCTATCCAGCAGGAGGAGGGGGGCAAATTGCAGAAGGCCTGGCTTTGGGGAGGGGAACTTCACTGGCTTAAGAACTCAAATCATCACATGTCCACTGAGGGTCAGAGGGGGAACATGATAGTGAAGCTGCTAAGGTTCCTGTAAACTCTCTGGTATCTCAAGGTCTTATAGTATTTGCTGGCAGAACACTCTGACGTGCAACACTTAACATGGCACAGCACTGACAAGGGACCTTAGAACATGATGAACCTATCACATTTATGCACGCGTTTGCTTAAGTCAGCACGCATGAACAAACACTTAAGAACTTAATAAGAACCACATGCGTATGCACATAAATTTAAACTGATATCTGCTGGACTTTGCATTTGACATACTATATTTCAGGGGAAAAGCTTCTGTTAAAAGCTAGATGTCATCTAGACAGTATTCGGAGGCTTTGGAAGCAGCTCTGCACTGAAATGTGCTTCACCCTGCCTTAAACTCTGGAAGAACCTTAAGCTGCTTCTTTAAGAGGAGGAAGAAGGACAAAGGTGAAGAGGAAGAATAAGGATTTGTATATCACAAAATATTTGCCATTGTTACCTCACATCTCACCCTGTCCTTCATGTGCAGGTCAACACTTGACTAATGTCCCATCTGCACTGACTCCCAGCAGATTTGGATTAAAAGCCAAAATAAAGTTGTGGCAACATGACTACTCACTGCCAGGAAAAAATACAGTGAATCTAACCTATACAGGCATTAAATCACTTTAAGTCTGGCGTAAATCTGCTACAGTAGCAGAACTTCAGGACCAGACCAAGCACCACTATGAAGCTGTTTTAGCTCCAGAGGGGTTGTAGTTTACAAACATGAGACATGGGGCTGCCAGTTTCTATTGGTATTGATTTTTTTGTACTTTAATGTACCATACACGTTCCCTTACAAAATATACACTATGTAACAATGTACTGATTATCAAAACTGATATATTGGCCTGTATCCTATGAGAGAGTGTTTCCACAGTGACACTAAAGACAGTTACTGTTCCATTTCTATTGTTAACTCAGTAGAAGTTTTGACATGCTAATGAAATTTATACCATGATATTTGCAAATGCCAGACTACTGGCTGTTAATGTCCCTTGGGAAACTTTGTTCTAACATGAGGGGTATGCGGGTGCTGGGTGGGCCCCACATCCTGTATTTACTCAGAAGACATTGTTTAGCTGTCAGAGGCATCTCCATCACTGACACTTTAATAAAGACTTTCCAGGGGCAGGGGTGAGGCATGGATGGGACAGGTTGGCTGCTAGAAGGTGAGAATTCTGGAAAACATACAGCGCACTCACAAAAAATATCCAACCAGTGACATATAGTTTGTATTGGCTCTGTATTCTAGAATAACATGCCAACTCTCAGTTTTAGTGCTAACATCCAGAGACAACATAAGTGGACAAATTAAAAAGAATAATTAGACATTTGTATATGCATTCTTGTCAAGACTTAGATATAAAGATTGATACCACTGCCACATCTGTCTGAACAGGAAGCTAAAGCCATTTAGTCAGATTTAATGATGGATGAACTGGATTTGGCCCCAGCCAATTTTCCCCAGCAGCCACTTGCGCTACGGCAATGAAAAAATCCTCATACGACCCAAAAAGCATTTTCTCCATAGACCACAATGATAAAAGCTAAGTCTGTAAAACCACTGACAGAATACCTGGAACTATAAATGAGGACAATGATCGCTCTTTGTATTATGAATTTTTAACCCACTGAGTTTTATATTTGTAAAACCCTCCCAAAGTCCAGAAAGCAGAGTTTTATTTACGTGACGTCATCCCAATGTAAAATCAATGTGCCGAGCGGGAGAGTGTGAGTGGGGCCGGCACAACGTTATCTTTAGTAAGAAGTTTGTCCTACAAAGATTCACTCACCACTGTGGACACCTAACTTTAGTGCTCATTTTAATTTGCTAAATAAACACACTAACACAGAGTTTGCCCTCAAGCCACAGTGAACCCTTTGTGCTGATCGCACTAACGTGACTGAATGGACAAGTGACAGGACAGGCTGTCAGTATACTACATGTTATGAATTACTGTAAAGCTTGTAAACTGCCATATGTCACTGTCAACTAATGACAGCTAAATGACCCAGCATTTTATGATGACAAATTTTAAAAAAGCACAAAAAACAATACAGCCATCAGTAAATGTGCAAATGTAACATACTAAGCAAGAATAATTATAGGAAACACTTAGTGACAGAGGACTGTAATTTCCTTCCAGGAGTACATAGAGTACATAGAGGAATCTTCTTGAATGGAGCACACTCAAACCACCTGTTATTCAAGTACATTAATGTAGCCTGCAATTTCTCTGCTTGAAAAAATTCACAGAATACCAGTTTGGGTTAAGAGTGGAAATTATGCACCGGCTTTGAACTAAGACTATATAAAAACCCAATTGCAGATGAGAGCCACTGTACAGGGAAAAGTTTTCTTCATAAACACGGTATGTCTGAATGTAGTTTTGGCTAGAGATAAGGTATGATTTCACATGTGCTTCCCTGAAAACTGCTTATTAAAATCAATAATTAATTCAAACTTTTGTGATACTTTTAATGC